CAAGCAGCCCTGGCGACCGGGACCCGCCGAGACGACGGCGTCGCCAGCAGCCTCCTGGATCGCACGTCGTCGTCCATCGTCGACAACCCCCGTGCGAGCACCGTAGACAACCTCCGCGCGACGTCGTCCCCCAAAAAACGGGCAAACATCGTCGTTTCGGGCACGACGTCATCGCCGTCGACGTCGCCCCCGACACGCCCAGCAGCCTCCAAGATGGCGACGTCGTCGACGACGACGTCGCCGTCGTCCCGACCCTGGATCGGTCACGCGCAAGAGTGGCCCTGGAGGAGAGTGGACGTTGGTGTGCGGCGTTGGGGAGCCGCGAGGTGGCCAAACCCAAGCGTGCGAGCCAGGGGGGGGGGATCCCCGTGGGCCCCCATCGAGGATCACTCCAGCGAAGGGTCCCTCTCACGCGTGGCCGACCGGATCTCTCCTCGGGTTCACCCTGGCCAAATGTTTCGAGCTGCGTGCCGCCGTGGCGACGAGACTGCCCCCCCACACTCTTTTTTGGTCTGCGGGGCGAGAGCGAACCTCTTCCACTGGAAGCTAAGCGGGACGCGCACAGCTTTAATTAGCAGAGAAAGGGCGAAAGAAGGCGGGGCCTCACGGCGGCCGGGAGAGGGCGAAGCCCTGGGATCAGGCGGTGCCCCCCCCCCCACACTCACTCGCTGGACAACTTGGGGAACAAGGACGTCGACGTAATCAACCCCAGACCTCCAACGTCGTGGTGTTTTCAATACGTTTTCTCCGGAACTTTCGACATCTTCCTAGAATCGAAATTGTTGTGCTGGATGGACTTCTCATGGCCCTGGAGCCCGAAGGTAGCCCCTGGACGCTGAAAGCGACGCACGGCACGGTCCGGACGACTTTACGTAACTATTTCGAGTCGTTGGGATTATGTGAAGTCGTCTCGAGGCGCCTCCGAGGCTCGAGATCAGCTACACTGAAGGGGCCCTGGGACACACAAATAAATCCACACAAATAACCGGATTCCCAATATTTTCAGTGTTTTTGTCTTCCCCCCCCACTTCCCATATTTTTCCACATTTTCCAAGGAATCGACGATTAATTGTGTCTGTGTGTTTTTTTCCCCTCCTGCTACACGAAAAGACGTGAACCTGGGCAACACCGACCTGGGAAGTCGTCTCGATAGGGGGCCCAAAAAAACATATATTATATATATATATATATATATATATATATATATATATACCACCACCGCCTCCCTCCCCACCTCCCTCTCGCTGGAGAGAGGAGAGAGGAGGAATCGATGTGGTGGTGGTGTTTATCTTCTTTGGGCTCCCGTCTCGAGGCGCCTCCGGGGCCCCGAGACCAGCCGCACGACAACGAGTCGAGCCCGGGCAACGCCGACCGCTTGCGCGCGGCCTGCCGAGCGATGCCTGCGAGGCGACCGGGGCGGCCGTCGACCGCCCTCGGGTCTGGCCCTCCGCGCGCCCCGGAGGCCGCACGCCAGAGGTCACGCTGGCTCGGGGTCACGCGAGGACGACGATGATGCCTTGTGAGGCAGCTACTGGGAAGGTTTCGTCGGAAAGATCAAGGTGGGCCTCGGAGCAAGCGGGATTAAGCCGGACTAAGCGGGATTAAGCGGAATTAAGCGGGATTAAGCCGGATTTCGGACCAGGTCACTCTGGCCCAGTGCCACGTGCATAGGATTAGGTCGGGCCTGTCCACCTGCAGGGGGATTTCGGGCGAAAAATTAAAACCACGCAGAAAATACTCCCCAAATGCTAAAAAATAGTCAAACAATAGTCCCCATACGATGTGTTGACTATTTTTGAATATCCCTCCTGTAGAGGGACGTGCCCGACTTAAGCATGGGACGACGATGATGCCATGATGCGAACGGCTCGGGAACTTCTGTCGGCCCTCACTTCTGCATCCCGCCTGGAACACCCGGACATCCTGGGAACCAGCGAAATCTTGGAACGCATCATCATCATCATCATCATCATCATCATCAACATCATCATCATCATCATCATCATCATCATCATCATCATCATCATCAGCATCACCATCATCATCATCATCATCATCATCAGCATCACCATCATCATCATCATCAGCATCAGCATCATCATCATCATCAGCATCAGCATCAGCATCAACATCATCAGCATCGTCATCATCATCATCATCATCATCATCATCATCATCAGCATCATCATCAGTATGACCTCTTGCTTTTTGGATGCCTCGACAATGGACACTCTAACAATCCTTGCATTGAACTGAAGACGTGTTTAACATGTGTAGCACATATTATATTAGAAAACTGTGCCACACATGTTTTGAAACACGCATGTCATGCTGTAGACATCTGGACATTATTTTGCGACATGGCTCCTCTCCATTATGAAGGGGAACTGGAACACACAAATAAATACACACAAATAAAAATATCCCCCATATTTTCCCATACTTTCTGGGATTTTGTCTTCCCCACCACTTCCCATACTTTTGCATATTTTCCTGGGGGTCGACGATTAATTGTGTCTGTGTGTTTCTTTCCCTCCTGACATTCGTCAACTTCCACAGCTCTTGCTCCTCGGAGTGTAGCCGGGGAGGGCGGGGAGCGGCCCACGCAGCCCGTGAACTTTCGCTCGCTCGGTGGAGCCACGCCGCTGCCGCTCCCCTCCCCTCTCTCCTCCCTTAACTCCTTCAAGCAGTGGCGAAGCGTCCTGACTCGCGTATAGTCCCACCAAACAATGTTCTAAGAACCTTTTGTGGTTTCCACGGAATGTTCTTAGAACATTTCTGACCGGGACTGTCTTGTTTTAACACTTCGGGTATTTTCGGGTTCTACAAACATTTCGTGGTAGGACTATGGGGTGCCGGGACGGTCGGTCCCTGCTCAACTCCTTGCTCCTCCCCCGCAACTGCCGCCCTCGCGCTTGCCCGGCTGAATACGCTTTGCTTGGCTTCCCGGCCCCCTGCATACTTTCGACAACCACTTCCGGCAATGCATTGCTGGATAGCTCTCTGAAAACTCTGCGGGGTTCAGACAAGAAGCCGGCACCGCAAGGTAGCCGCGGAGCTCGCTCCGGCGTCGGACATCTGTCCCGAAAGGCCTTTTCGAACTGTTTCCCAACACGTGTGCCGTCAACCTTTCCAGAGGCTCCTTCGGAAACCCCTTCCGAGAGCTTCCGGAACTCCTTGGAGAGGTGTTGGAAGGCCTCCCTGGCGCTCGGCTATCCGGGTTTGGGACTCCACAAGTGAACGGACGCTCTGGGGAAAAAGTGTCGCTATAGAACAAAAAAAAAACTGCATAAACATCAACTTTTGGCTCTCCTCTCGGATTTCATGGATCTGCGCCGGAACCCCGTCCCTGGGGCGTGCAACTCGCCAGGGGCGCCGGAGGCGCCGCGCGTGGGGGCCAGCGCGGACGGGTCCAAGAAATCCGTGCGGAGGTCCACAAAATATATGTTTATGGCGGCTTCTCCTCCTCGGGCCGCGGAGGGGCGCGCCGGCTGTCGTCGTCACTGCAGCTGGCGTGGCCCGTCGTCGTCGTCGTCGGCGTCGTTCGTCGTCGTCGCCTCAAGTCGGGCCTGTCCCTCTGAAGGAGGAAGATTCGGAAATAGTAAGAAAATCGTCTGGGGACCATTCCTTGCATACTTTTGAATATTCTGTGAATATGCTTTGGGCATCCTTGCATTTTTCGTCCCAAATCGGCCTGCAGGGGGACATGCCCGACCTAATCGTCGCCTCCCTCGTTTGAGCAGGGACCGACCGTGCCGGCATTCCTATAGTTCTACCACGAACTGTTTTAGAACCCAAAAGCGCTCTAAGAACAAGAACACTGTCCTTAGAACATCAATCCGATGTGTTAAACCAAGACCGGCTCCGCCAGACATGTTCTAAGAACATTTCGTGGAAGCCACAACAGGCTCTTAGACAATTCTTTGGTAGGGCTATCGGCGAGCCAGGACGCTTCGCCACTGCTTGAAGGAGTGTCGCCGAGGGGGGGCGCCCCGCGGACGGTGCCCGGCGCGCCAGGGCGGCGCGGCGCGGCCTCGGCCCGCGCTCGCCGCTCGCGCTCCGCCTGGTGGGCTGCCTGCTCCTCGGACTGGCGTGGCCGCCGCCGCCGCCGGCTCCGGGAGCGCAGAGGAAGCGCCGCTGGACTTAGGTCGGGCCTGTCCCCCTACAGGGGGACTTTGGGCGACAAATTAAAAATACATTCTTTTCCCCAAAATGCTTAAAAAGAGTTTCAAAAAATAGTCCCCAGAACATGTTTTGACTATTTTTGAATATTCCTCCTGTAGAGGGACAGGCCCGACTTAACGCTGGCCCAAGGTGCCCCCAAGGTTTCCAAGGAGGCCCCGACGTGCAACACACAGAACACACACAACACGCAGATGTGTGTGTACATATATATATATATATATATGTATACACGCACCCTGTTGATGCCGGGTGTTGCTGGAAGTGCCGCTGGTCCCAAATGCCCCCAGGGTTTCCAAGAAGGCCCCGACGTACAGCACTCACAACAGAACTCACAAAGAACACAAACACACAACACACATATATTATATATGTATATATACACCCTGCAAATTTCAGGTGTTGCTTGAGGTGCCGCTGGTCCAAGATACCCCCATGGTTTCCAAGGAGGCCCCGACGTACAACACACAGATCACACACGCTAAACCAAACTATATATACATACATATATATATATAGACATGTATATCGGTATGTATATATATATATATGTGTATATATACACACCCTGCTAATGTCGGGTGTTGATGGAAGTGCCGCTGGTCCAAGGTGCCCCCACGAATTCCAAGGAGGCCCCGACGTACAACACACAGACCACACACAACACACACACATATATATATACATATATATATATATGTACATACACACGCGCACACGCACACACACACACGCACACACACACACACACACCCTGCAAATTTCGGGTGTTGCTGGAAGTGCCGCTGGTCCAAGGTGCCTCCAGGGTTTCCAACAAGGCCCCCCCACGGCCTCCAGGGCACCTCTCACGACGCCAAGAAGGCTACCAAGGGCTCCAAGATGGAGCGGAAGGCTGGGGGCACATTGGGCCAGGGGCACGTGTAGCAACCCCCGGTGATCTGTCACACACGACTCTTAGAAAAGGCAGTTTCGCCTGAGGCGTCCGCCCAGAATCGAGCCCCGACGTACAACACACAGAACACACACACACACATGCACACACAACACACACACACACACACATATATATATATATACACCCTGCAGATTTCGGGTGTTGCTAGAAGTGCCCGTGGTCCAAGATGCCCCCAGGGCTTGCAATGAGGCCCCCCCGCGGCCTCCTGAGCACCTCTCACGACGCCAAGAGGGCTACCAGGGGCTCCAAGATGGAGCGGAAGGCTGGGGGCACCTTGGGCCAGGGGCACGTGCAGCAACCCCCACCTGAGGCGTCCGCCCAGAATCGAGCCCCGACGTACAACACACAGAACACACACACACACACACACACACACACACACGCACATGAACACAACAGACACACATAGACACCCTGCAGATTCCGGGTGTTGCTAGAAGTGCCCCTGGTCTAAGGTGCCCCCAGGACTTGCAATGAGGCCCCCCCACGGCTTCCAGAGCACCTCTCACGAAGCCAAGAGAGCTACCAAGGGCTCCAAGATGGAGCGGAAGGATGGGGGCACCTCGGGCCGGGGACACATTTAGCAACCCCTGGTGACTTGTCACGCACGACTCTTAGAAGAAGGCCGTTTCGCCTGAGGCATCCGGGCAGAATCGAGCCCCGACGTAGACAACACACAGAACACTCACAACACACACGCACATCCCGCAGAACCCAGAGCAGACATACACACACATCATACAAACAGAACAAGCATCACAAGCACACAGCAAACACAGAGCACACACAGAACACATCACACACAACACACACAATACAAACAACGCACACGGCCAACATAACACAGCCCACAACAAGAACACACACAGCACCTACAAAACACATAACAGAGCACATATCACACGCGTCACACTCAACACACACAACACACAACACACAACACACAACACACAATATACAACGCGCACACACAATACGCACACATAGCACACATCAACACAGAGAAATTGTACATGATAAGCACCATGCACAAAAGACAGCCACCACCCATTCACACACACATACACACGCAACACGTCTAACAACATACATATATATATATATATATACACTAGAACCATCGCGCGCGCTTCGCGCGCGCTCAGGTTCTAGCCCAGGCTGGGGGCGCGCTAGAAGATCTTGGACAGCGCTATCAAGCACAGGCGCGTGACATAGTCGTGCCTCCTGTGGGCCTCTTGGGAACCTCTTGGGTCTTCGTGGGGGCATCTGAAGGGCTTCTGGGAGGTTCTCCGTGCTTCCTCAATTGGCTGTTGGAGGCACTTCTTGGGTGCTTCTCTGGGGGGCATCTTGGGGCTTCTTGGGGTCCCTTGGGGGCATCGTCAGGGTTCTCCGGGCAGTCGGAAAGTGATGCTCTGCAGTCTGAAGCAGTCAATTGGCTGTTTTGGCTGCGTGGAAGCCTGGCTTGAGGCCACATTGGGGCAATCCGGAAGCCCCCTGGAGCTTCCTTGAAGCAATTTTGATGCATCGAGAGCACTGTTCAGCTATCTTGGGGCCCCGTGTACGTCTCCTGTGAGCCTTTTGGGGCCTGGTGGGGGGCATTGGGGGGCCTCGTCGGGCCAGTTGGGGACTCTTGGGGCCTCCTGTGGGCCTCTTAGGGCGGAAAGCTCTGCTGTTGGGTTCGCGTTCCCCTTCTTGGGGCTCTCTTGGGGCCCTCTTGGGGCCCTCTCGGGCCGTCTTGGGCGCCTCGGGCACCGTCTTGGGGCCCTCGTGGGCCGTCTTGGGGCCCTCTTGGAGGCCTCTTCGGCTATCTTGGAGCAGCCGTTGGGGCCACTTGGGCCGTCTTGGAGCGTCGGGATGCCAAAAGGCTGGGAACTCTAGAATCCATCAAAAGCCGATGGGAAAACAATGCTTCTTGGAACCTCTTCGGCCTTCTGGGAGCTTCTTGAGGGCCTCTTGGGTCCCATTTGGGGGCCTCTGGGGCTTCCTGAGAGCCTCTCGGGGTGGAAGGCTCAGATTTTCTGTTCGTCTTACCCCTCTTGGGCCCCACTTGGGGCCGTATTGGTGCCCTCTCGGGCTGTCTTGGGCCCTGTTGGAGGCCTCTTGGGCTACCTTGGATTGGTCCTGGAGGCCTTTTGGGCCGTCTTGTAGCGTCAGGACGCCAAAAGGCTGAAAAATCGAACATCAATCAAAAACCTATGGCATGACATGGATGCTTGCCTCTTGGGGCCTTCGCGGGAGGCCTCTTGGATACTCTTCGGCCCCCTGGGGGGCTTCTTGGGGCCTCTTGGAGTCTGTTAGGGGCTTCTCGGGGCCTCCTGAGAGCCTCTCGGGGTGGAAGACTCGGATTTTCGGTTCGTGTCAACCCGCTTGGCTCCATCTTGGGGCCGTCCTGGGGCCCTCTCGGGCCGCCTTGGGCGCCTCTGGCGCCGTCTTGGGACCCCCGTGGGCTGTCTTGTGACCGTCTTCGAGGCCTCTGGGGATGCCTTGGAGCGGAAATTAAAGCCTCTTGGGCCGTCGTGGAGCGTCAAGAAACTCAAAAGGCGAGAACTCGAAAATCGATCAGAAAGGAAAACAAATTAGTTGTGCCTCCTGGGGCTCCTTGGGAGCCATCTTGGAGACCTCTTGGGGCGTCTTGGAGGCCTCTCGGGCAGTCAAGGACCAATTCTGGGGTGATCTCGGGCGGTCATTGGTCGTTTTCGTTGTCTGGAAACGCCAGGGCCGTCTTCGGACGACTTTACAAGGCCCCCAGCGCCACGGCAAGGCCCCCGGGCCCCCCGGTGCGAGGGCCCCGTCCCGTGCCCCGCCTCGTGCCCGCGGCAGGGCGTCCCTGGGCCGTCTCGGCGCCCTCGTGGGGGCCTGTTGGGGCGACATTGGGTGTCTGAAATGCATCAAAAACCTAAGGACAAGCAATGATTTTGGCGTCACTTTGGGCCTTGTTGGAAGCCTTGTGGGTCGTCCGGAGGCCATCTTGGGCGTGCTCGAACGATATGTCTTCGCTTCGGGGCCTCTTGGGGGCCTGTTGCGGCCCTTTTCGTTTGTGTTGGGGCTTTCTTGGGCCGTCTGGGGACGGCCCTGGGCTGTCTCGGCGCCCTCTTGGAAGCCTGTTTGGAAGATTTCTGGGTGTCCTGGACCGTCCTCCTTCAACGTCGGCGGCACTGGCCGTAAGACTTCCTGGGAACATGATTTGTTGGGGTGTCGTTGGGCGCCTCTGGAGGCTTCGGGGCCTGACGCGTTTCCGAGCGTGGCGGCAGGTAGCGCTGCTTGGGACTCTCGTTTTTTTTAATCCTGGCAGGCATTTATAAACATGGTTTGGGGAGAGGGCGGCTACCCGATAAGCTTTCCGGGAGCATGATTTGTTCGGCTCTCTTAAGAGGGGGGGCTCTGGGGGCTTACGGAGAGCCCTTTTTGGCCTTGTCGGCAAGCCTACTGGAAACATGGTTGGGGCGGTGGGCGCAAGCCCAAGGAATCATGTTCCCGGAAAGTTCTGGGAAATACGATTTACCGAGGTCTACTGGGGGCCCACAGCGGGCTTCCCTAGGGGGCCCTTGGGGGCTTATTGGGGCTTCCGGGGGGCCTCTTGGGAGCCTCACGGGGCTTCTTGGGAGCCTCCTGATGGCCTCCGGGGGCGTCCTAGGAGCCTCTCAGGCCGGAGACCTTGAAATGTCGCGCTCTTCGGGCCCTCTTGGGTCGCTCTTGGGGCTCTCTTGTGGCGCTCTCGAGGCCCTCTTGAATTATCTGGGGAGCCTCCTGGGCCGTCTCTGGTCTTTCCTTGGGAGCCTCTTCGGCCGTCTTGTAGCGATCTGAAGGGCCTCTGACGCCGTCCGGGACCGCGGGGAGGCGGAACATGCGAGAGCGCAAAAATGCGAAGCCCTTTGGAGGGGCCTCTGGAGGCGCTCTTGGGACGTTTTGGCGGCGTCGTCGGCCGTCCTGAGGTCATCTTCGGCGTTTCCTGGGCCTCTTGGAGCTGTCTTGGCAATGTTTAGGGCCTTCTTGGCGTGTCGTGGCGTGTTTGGGAGCGGGCCCGGGCAGTCCCGGGAGTACTGGGGGCTGTTGAATGCTAGGCGTTGTCTCGGAGGCGGAGGCTGTTGAGTGCAGGGTGGCGCGTGCTACGCGGAAGGCGGGCGAACGGCCAGGCGGGCGGCGGGCGGGCGGGTGGCGGGCGGGCGGGCGGGCGCGTTGGGATTTGAATGAATTCCTTAAGGGTGCTCTCTTGCAGCGGGAGCTTCTTGAGTACAGGGTGTTGCCTTGAAGACGGGGGCTGTTGACTACAGGGTGTTGTCTTGGAGACTGAAGCTGTTGAGTACTGAGTGGTGCGTGCTACGCGGACGGCGGGCGGGCGGCGGGTGCCCTCGGTGATGGGTCAGATTGCTCATGGGTGTTGGTTTGGATCTCGTGGTTGGCCTGTCGGGGACGTCGTGAAGGCAGTTTCGCAGCTCTTCGGTAGCCATGTTGAGACCGTTGTGGGACTTCCTCGGGGCTGTTTTGTGGCCTCTTGAGGCCTTGTTTGGGTCTCCTGGGTGCCTCTCGGGGGCCTCCTGGGGCCTCTGGGGGGCTCCTTGGGGCCTCCTGGGGCACTCTTCAAGCGGGAGGGTCGAATTTTGGAGTCGTGGTCCCCCTCTAGGGCGCATCTTGGGGCCGTCTTGGGAACGTCGGACAGCCGAAAAGGCTGGAAGGCCGAAACCTCTCCCAAACCGTGTAAAATTTACGATTTTGGTCTCTTGAAGCGCTCGGGAGAAGCATCTTGAAGCGTCGTGGAGTGCCTTGGGGGGGTTTCTCGGGCCGTCTTGGGCCTATTTCACGCGTCCAGGAGCGGTCATTCGGCGACTCGGGGCCCGCTTGGGCCGTCTGGGGAGCCTCTGGAGGCCCTCCTGGACTATTTTGGACCTCCCCGGCCGCCCCGTCCCCCCCATGGGGGGTCGGGGCAGCTGTTTGTGGGCCCCAGGCCTACCCCCCAGGGATATGTATATATATATATATATATATATTGCATTATTTGCTGCATGGGTCGTGGCACGCAAGTGCCGCTGTATCATTATGCGCAATTCTCCGAGGGCGCAGAGCTCAGAGGCGATTATTGTCTCGTCCAAGCTGGTTTTTGCTGTTTCGCTCGGGACATCCTCACAATTAACCCTCACACAGTTCGCAACGTCACAGTCCAAAAGCACAGTCGCTGATCCAAACATGTTAACAGAAACCCTTCAACCACACACGCACACACACACACACACACACTGGAGATCAAGGGTGTCACGAGGCTTAGAGCAAGGCAGTTTCGCCTAAGACACCCTCGCAACATCGAGGCCCGATGTAGAACACGCGCAACACACGCAGAACAGACACAGCGCACACACACAGAACACACCCACAACACATAGAACCCATAAACAGAGCACAAACAGAGTACACACAACACACACACACACATCACACATACAAACCACACACACACACTCTCAACACCCACACACACCGCACACACAACACACACACACAAGCGACACATAACACAGAACACATAACGCACAGCACACACAACACGCAGAGCACATCCAGAACATACCCACAACACACGCAACACCTACAGCACACATAACACACAGAGTACAACGCACACGCATCGCACACAACACACACCCCCACACACACACACAACACACGCATTCACACAACACACGCACCACACAGCAGACACACAGCACACGCACAACACATACGGTGGGGGCATTGGATAAAGAAACCTTCGACTAGGAATCCAGGGTCTGGACGCCAGTGGAACTATAATTGTGGATTGGCCATGGATATCACCGCCACCCTCATCAGATAAGTAACCCTACAGGGCCTGAAGCCTCCTGGGCACGTTCCTTAACAAACGCCCCCACCGTACGCACACACAACACACAACACACAACACACAACACACAAGCACATACACACATGACTGAGACATAATATAAAACCCGCACACAAGACACCCACCACACACACTTGTTCGGTCTTCGTTGGCGGGAGCGACTCCAGGCCGAGCTGAGGTCTGTCGGCGCGCGCCTGCGGGGACCACACACAACACACACACACACCACACACCGCACACCACACACAACACACATACACAAACATCTTGACAATTTGTTGCATGAGCCTGGGCATGCACGTACCACCTGTAGCTACGTGCGTCCATGTATTCTGACCCTGACGTCCACCGCCTCCCATGGGGTCCTGGCGAGTCGCGTCTCCAGGCGGTGAAAGTGTACAACTGCGGGCACTCTTCCCTCGATCCTCGATCCCCCCCCTACCTCCTCTCCACCCTCCTCCTCCTCTCAGTCCTCCCTCCCCGATCTTCGATCCTGTCCTCATCGATAACTCACCACCCGCCTCTCTCGATCTTACCCCCACCCTCCCCACCTCCCCCCTCCCTCCTGCTCCTCCGCCTCGGTCCTCGATCCTCAGCCGCAGACCCCTCCTGCCGCACCCGGTACGTCTCCCGCCACAGCTGCTCGGTGCGCTTGCAAGCTCGGTCCTCCGCGCGACTGGGGTCAGCGCCAGGGGCAGAGAGCAGAGGGATCGGCGAGGATGGGGGGACAAAGGCTCCAGGTATTTGGACGTTCTCGGCACCTGTTCAGGTCTCGGGACACCTCCTGGGGCATGCGCCGGGGCCCGAAGAGACCCCCATGAGCGTCCTCTTCTTGATCCCGCTTCCTTGTATTCCTTCTCCATGCTTCCTCCTCCCCGTGCCCTTCTTTTATCCTCCACCCTCCATCTACATACCTCTCTTCCTCTACTCTCCTCCTTCTCCCCTCCTCCTCCTCCTCCTCCACCTCCTCCTCCTCCTCCTCCTCCTCCTCCTCCTCCTCCTGTTCCTCCTCCTCCGATCAATAGCATCATCCGCCTCTTCCTCCTCTTCCCTATCATTTTTCCCGTGAACCGCTGGGTGGTAAAAAGATAGTCGGGTATGTGCACACTGGCGAACTTGAGGGACCCACAGAAACCGGTAAGGAAGTGAAATCAGGTTGCAATATGACATATGAATTACATGCTGACGAGGCGTAATATGGTGCATTATCATATGATGCGCTGCCCTGCTCACATCGCAGCGGAAGTGAAGCGGAAAAGCATACGCACATAAACGCAAGGCAACACCCACACACACACACACACACACACACACACACACGCACTGAAAACCACAATGGAGAACATTTGACGAGGAGGCTGGAGATTGCACATCGCTCTCCGCCTATGTTCACACCACTCCCTCCTCCTCCTCCCCCTCCTCCTCCTCCTCCTCCTCCTCCTCCTCCTCCTCCTCCTCCTCCTCCCCCCCCCCTCCTCCTCCTCTCCTCCTCCTCCTCCTCCTCCTCCTCCTCCTCTCCTCTCCTCCTCCTCCTCCTCTCCCCCTCCCCTCCTCCTACTCCCTCCTCCTCCTCCTCCTCCTCCTCCCTCCTCCCTCCTCCTCCCCGCGCCCACATGCTCCTCCTCCTCCTCCTCCTCCTCCTCCTGCTCCTCCCCGCCCCCACTCTCTCCCGTCCCCCCGTTCTCCTCCAACATGTCATCGTCCTCTTCCCCCTCACCCGGAGCCGGCGCCGCCTCCGGCCAACGGCGGGCGAGAGCGACAGCTGCTCAGAGCTCAGACGCTCCGCCGAACGACGGACGCGGCGGGTGAGGTTGCACGTCAGTCGGAAGAAGTAGGCAAGAACAGGCAGCAGGAAGGCGGACCGAGTAGATTGGGTCCAGGCCCTCCCAGAGAATAAGAGAGCGCAGGGAAAGCACATTGGTCCTTGAAGAAGGAAGGCACCCAAAGTCGACTGGGATCTGGCAGTCCAGAAGTGCCTGCCTTCAACGAGCGATGGGCAAGCTCGCCTGCAGCCAACCGACCAATGGAGGCGGGCTGCGCCAGCATCGTGTGGTTCGCAGCACTGATTCGCCTGTCTCCTGTGAGCACTCCGATCGGCCCTGACATCGAAGCTGGGAGTTCCAGCCCCTCTGTGGCGAAACTGCCTTGCGGGCCTTAGATTCGGTGTCCTTCCCCTGGGGCCCCAGAGCGATTTCTTGACAATCCGAACTCCCTCGTGGGAGCCTGAAAGCCCCCCAAGGAACCCCAAGAAAGTCCTGAGGCTTCCCGACGACCTTCTCAGCTTCAGTCCTGACGATTTCGTTGCACCCGAAGGGCCCAGATCCACCACCGTGCCTCTGGCACGTCGCGGCGTGCTAGAATGTCCAGTGATGTCTGGTAGGGTTGCTGTAAGCTTCCAGGGGCCCTCCCTCCCTCTCGCCACGCTGGCCCGCGCGCATCGCCCCGCCTCCACAGGGCTCTGTCGGCGGCCAGACACATCCCTGTTGCCCCCCAGTCGAAGACCACTAAGATGGCTTCCAAGATGGCCCAGGCAGGCCATTCAGGCCGCTAAGATCTCCAAGACGACCCAAAAAGGCCCCAAGACAGCACTAGATGGATTCAGTGGGCTTCTGAGACTGTTCCGGGAGAAAGTGTAGCACGACTCGAAGATGCCAACATGTGTTGTTGAAAATTATGTTTTCAAACGTTGTCGCATTCTCGCCTTGTCGGTCTCCCTCCAGCTCGAGAATGCCCAAGAGGCCCCCAAGATGGCCTTACGACGACCCAAGACGGCATCAAAAGAGCCCAAGAGGCCTCCAGCACGGCCTCTGAACGCACTGAGAGGGCCCTGGAAGGCCCAGGACGAACCCGAGAGAACCTCAAGGTGGCCCTAGAGGGCCTCCAGAGGGACCCAAGACAGACAGGCTAAGATGATCCCTTGACGGCACAAGACTGTCTCACGACGGCTCCAAAAGACCCCTCAGACGGCCACGAGGGACCCACGAGAGCCCCACGATGGCTACACAGGGCCCCAAGACGGCCACCCAGGGCCCCAAGGAACCCCAAGACTGCCCCACAGGAGCCCAGAACAGCCCCAAAACAGCCCAAATAGGGTTCATGAGAGCTATTCGAGAAGTGAAGACGAAATGCGTCACATGTGGCGGCTCTCCTCCGCTACCTCCTACTATTGCTCGTCCTCCTTATCATTATCATCAGTATCTACATCCCCACCACCGTCCTCGTCTTCGTCTTCATCATCACCATCAACACCATGCAACCTATTTCTCCTCATCATCACCATCACCACCGTCATCGTGAGTATCGTCTTCAGGACCCCCCCTCGCTTCATCGCCCTACTCCGTTCCATGATGAGAGATTCACGGCCATGCAACACGGGCTAGAAACCGCGGAGGCCGCCAATGTGACACCCGTCGGCGATTTGCCCGAGCAGAGGGCCCCAGAACAGGCCAGGGAAGCCCAAAGCCCAGCGCTGTGCCACGATTCTTCATGGCGCTGCTCCTCTTCCTCGATCGGGAGCACGTCGTTAAATTACTCCAAACTTCTTATTAATCAACCGAGGGGTGACAAACGTGAAAACGCGGCGCGGCCAACCCCACCCGGCACCACCCCCGCGCCCCAGCGGGGAAGGGATCGAACCCCAGACCCCCCCTGGCACCCACGCGGACGCGCCGCAGCAAACCCCGCCAGGCACTCCAAGGGGGGGGGGGGATTTGAAGCGATCCAGAGTACCTATCAGGTGTGGACCAGGGCTGAACCTAAACGGTGTTATTCGTTTTCGTTTTGTGTGCGTTTTCCCTCGCTTTTGTCTCGAATCCGCCTTTCCCGCAAAACGAAGTCGAAACGAAACCGGCCCACGAAATCACCAAAAACACCGTTTAGGTCCAGCCCTGCAGAGTACCTATCAGGTGTGGACCTACCGCATTGTCGGGGTGTTCCGCTTCGCCATTCTCTCACACGTGAATGCTGTCCTGGGCTTGCTCCAGCCGTCGCCGCCCGAGGTGTCACGCGCCCTGGCCTCCCGCCTCCCTGGCGCGACGATGATGGGGCGATGTTCCACCACCACCATGGGTAGGACGGGGGAGAAAGGAGGATGGGGAGGTCCTCCTCCTCCTCCTCCTCCTCCTCCTCTTCCTCTTCCTCCTCTTTCTCCTCCTCTTTCTACTCCCTCTCTTCCTCTTGCTCCTCCTCCTCCTCCTCCTCGCTCGCCTACCTATGGTAGTGGTGGTGAGAATCCGGCCCATCAGACGACATCAGCGATGGCTAACTGGAAAGGAAAGCAAATAGACTTGACAGGCAGGCTGAGGCCAGGCCCTTCGCAACGACCTGGACACTGGAGGAGAACACCCGTGATGGAAAAAAGGGAGGTCGCGAGGATGCACAGGTGCCGTGGGCGTTGATGCCGAAGGTGGAAGCATGCACGGGGTTGAACGCCATGGGTAAGCGATTCCTGGCCCTTCCACACCGTCAACTAAAAACAAATAAACCACCCTCGGCAATCTCCTTTCCTGAAAGCACACTAAGAAGAACACGCCACATGCCCCCAGTCGGCGGGCGGCACGGTTGCCCGTGGACCTCCAGGAGCATACGCCTCCGCCCTCCCCCGTTCCCCACCACCTCCTCCTCCTCCTCCTCCTCCTCCTCCTCTCCATTTCCCTCCTCGCTCCACGACCCTCCTTCTCCCCAAGCTCTTCCCTCGCCTCTCCGTCATCCTCCTGCGTTGGTCTGGACGAGGAGAGGGATGGCCAGAGGAGCTGACGAGGAGAAGGTAGAGGAGGAAAGAGAGGAAGGTAGTGAGGAAAAGGGAGGAGAATACGAAGAGAATAAAGAAGATGATAAGATGAGGAAGGGGAGAAAACCATAATGTAAGAAAGACGATGAGAAGAAGAAAGACGAACATTACCGCAACTGCGGTTTCAAGCCCTCTCCCACCGCGGTTGCAGCCCAGCTTTTTTGGTTGCGTCGAACCGCCCCGGAAATGGCTTGGCGTGCAATCACTTGTAGTATGAGAGGGTGCCACGGCCCGCGCTCTTGCCGAGGCCCGCCCCCGGGGGCTGCACGGGCCCCCAGTGAGGCGACGATCACAGAAGAGGAGGAGGAGGAGGAATATGAGCGACCTTCAGAAAACGGGGGCTCTCTGTGATCCCTCCTGGCATCCCCCCACGTGAGCTTTGTGAGGTGCTAAAAGGCAGCGCCCCGCTCGAGACGTCCTGGCAAGCTGCCCCACCCGCAGCAGAGCCTGGGGGGCCAGGATCAGTAAGCCGCCCGAGGTATCCCCACAATCTGGGCGCGACTGGTACACCCTGCGAAATGCTTAAGAAATCATGGGTTAAGAAATTCATAGTCTCAGAACTTGAACAAAAACCCAACATTTCTATTAAAATCTTAGGATTTACATTGAAACATTAAGAATAATCGAGACTCTGGCCGAAAACTTAAGTTTTCTTAAGCATCGCCTAAGGTGTACAGTGTCGCCACCCCTGGCGCCCCCATCTTACAACCCTGCGGGTTGCGAAACCAGCGCCTCGCTGGCGGCATCCTCACAATCTGCTCTGGGTGCAAAGAGAGTCTTGGGAACACGTACCAAACGCCCCGGTATTTCCACCGTCTGAACGCGAATGATGGGTGCTCGCAGCGCCACGCTCGAGACATCCTCGCGATCTGCTCCGATCTCAGACAGGTTCGGGGGAGTCGAGACCACGCAAACCGCCTGACACATCCACACAATCCCCACCGTGGGGGCAACTCTCGTGATCGGTACAGCCCCGTGGTCAACGATGCCCGTATCAAGCGGCTTGAGATCGAGGTTCTGGTGGCAAGGCATTTGGTCCGGAGCTCTTCGCGGACCTGATTCGGAGAGCCGTCGCAAAAGACGTGGGGGGACATCCCCGCGCCGTGGACGTCGGGATCAGAGAAGCGTCGCCGTTTTCCACTTGGGAGTTTCAAGGCGCGGGCCAGGGCGGGAACGCGGGGAACTGCGGCTGCGTGGCCGCCGGTAACGAGAGGGTGAAGTTGGCGAGCAGGTGTGTCCGCCAGGAGCTTAAGACGTCCAAGTTTGGGCTACGCATCTTGGGTCCATGGAGCGGCAGCACGACGTACTTTTACTGGTTTAACCTTGCTGGGCGAGGCACGGGAGAAGAGGCACGGCGTTGGCTGTCGGTCCCAGTCAGAAAAGGAAGCGGGGTCATTTGCGAGTGCAATAGCTGCGCCTTGGTCACGGAACTAGCTGCCTCTAGTCCCGCGGCGGCAGCCCAGATATCACGTTGTTCGGATCCTTGTTCTCCGTGTCGTCAGCGAATGGAGCCAATGTCTCGTTCGGCAACTTCCAGGCGCTGCTGCTGAAGCTAGTAGAAGTGTTGGATTGTAAAGCGGAGGTCAGCTCAGACGTCGACGCAGGAGGTCTTCTCAAAGAGGTTGCTGAGCTGGCGACTGGCGAGAATAAGCTGGGTTTGGATCCGGCTTTCGACAGCCGCAGAAATAGATTGTGTCTTGTAGAAGCAGGCCCGAGGCAGTAGCAAGTAGCGGTGGCTGCGGAGGTTATGGTCGCGGCAGTCGTGGAGGAGCATCTGGCAGGTGCGGGTCAAGTCGGGGAGCTGCAAACTGATGTTGAGGTATTGCAGGCACCGAAGCTGCAGCTCAACGCTCTTGTGAAGGAAAGGTGGCGGTGAGCTCCATTGTCTCTCCCAGCCTTTCAGGCTCCAACGGGTCAGATAGTAGACCGTCAGCAGCTTGTAGAAGGCGGGCCTGTTGGCCTCGGTCGCCGCCGAAGTTTCCAGGTCGACGCAAGGCACGCCGCTGGGCACCCGAGACTTGCGCTCCTGGAGCGGGAGGTTTGTCGATACCAGCAGCGCGTCGCCGAGCGTGTTCACGTCCAGCATCATCCTGAGATCGCCAAGGGTCTTGTCGCTGAAGTGGGTCACCGAGGTGAGCTCCAAGAGTCTTGGTCCCGGCGTTCACGGTCACGGCGTCCGCGGTCACGGCAGTCACGGCGTCTGACTTGTCGGGCGTTGCTGCGACGGGCGCCTGCGTCCACCGCTGCGGCACCCTTGGGCAGTTGATCGGGCAACCTCGGAAGAAGAGTGCATTGCTGCTGGTCCTGCGGAAGGTGACAAGGGGCACCTGCGGTTTTGAGAGAGGACGCCGGCGTAGAGGCAAGAGCAGATCGAAGCGAGAACTTTAGCTGCGTGGATATGGAAGTGCCCCGCCTTTCTTGTGGAGCGCATGGGGCTGACCAGGGCTTGACGTGGACTGGGTGCCCGAGGCGGACCAGGGCTTGGATGTGGAAGACTTTGAGGCTAGCCGCGGACCAGCGGTGTGCCCCCTCTGCGCGCTGAGAACGGGCACCTTGAACCAAGACGGTTACGGAAACAATCGGCAAGGATGGGGAGGAGGAGGAGGAGGAGGAGGAGAAGGAGGAGGAGGAAGAGGAGGAGGCGGAGTAGGAGTGGGAGGAGGAGGAGGAGGAGGAGGAGGAGGAGGAGGATCTGCCCCCTCCCGTGGCTCTGGGGTGTGGCTGCGCGCCCTTTGATGGCACATGCGTGCGAGGAGGGAGCGTACCGAAATGTGCAATCTCGAGGAGGAGGGGGAGGGGGAGGGGGAGGAGGAGGAGGATGAGGAGGAGGAGGAGGCGGAGGAGGAGGAGGAGGAGGAAGAGGAGGAGGCGGAAGAGCGCCCTGGTCGCGCCGCGAAGCGCGAGCGCGGCGCCCTGCGCTGGCTGCTCGGGAAGCAGAGCACATCAAGATCACGCCTATCAAACGTGCTCTGCTCCCAACCTTTCCATGCCCCGCTGGGTGGACCCCAGGCAGCACTCAGACGGCCAGGAGAAAGTCATAGCCCCCTTGCACCCAAGGCAGCCCCAAGAGAGTCTGAAACTTGACCAGGACGGAGCAAATGTTGTCGAATACGGCCCCATGGTCCTGGGGCGGACCTGATTTCAGCCAAGACGGGGCCCAGAACCTCCCTACGACCCTGAGACCCCTGCAGATTGCCACGACACTCCCGAAAAGGGTCCCTCTTGAGAGGCATCCCAACTGTCCCCCCCCTTCAGGAGGCATCGGAAAGGCCCCCTGATACTTAAGCAGAGACTCCCAACAGGCCCCGAGGCCCTGTAGAACCATGGTGCAGGATGACCGGTGGATCACAGCCGCAAGACTGCGAAATGCTGGCCCAAATCTGTTCCAAGGCAGACCGTGTCGGCTTCCCGATTTAAATCCCATTACCTTTCTCTTCAAGTTGCTCATGTTCCTCATCCGTATTTCCTGTTCCTCCTCCTTCCCCCCCGCCTCATCCTCCCTCTCCACCTGCAATGACCCGAATTGATGGCCCTGAGGTAAGCCTACACAGCCCAAGACACACACCGCGTTCCAGATTGCCGCAACGTGTCTCACGCCACCCCGATCGCGCCTGGCTCGGCTGCACAGTCAGAAGACCGTAGGACCACTACAATCAACGGGTCCAGGGAGCGGAGCAGGAGCGAGGGATGAGGCAAGATCGTGATGGGCGATGCCGAGCGTGAATTCCAAAACACATGAAGCGATGTCCTGTTCCTGGTCGGCCTCTTCCAGCGGCATGGAAATCTTCACGGTGTCGGTGACCTCCCACTGCACCCTCGTCAGATTCCGACAGCTGCTTTTGATGCTCCACCTCCCCCTCTCCCTCATCCGTCCTCGCTGACTGACTGGCGATCATACTAAAACATGTTCTAGCAAATTGTAAATACGCTGTGTTTCTTCTGACGCGGCGTCTGGCTGCAATTCGATAAGCATCGGAGGTTGGGGGGTGAGATCGCAGTGGAATGGAGACCCCCAACCGGGAATCCGCTTCGTTTGGTTCGTGTCGTGCGTGCGGGCGAGGCGAAGCTGCGTGGGCGCGCGAGAGGAATGAACCCACCGCTGCTAGGGCGAAGTCAAGACAAATGATTCCCCCCCTCCCGCCCGTCCGGCGGTGGCTCGCGGTGTCCCGTGGTGTCCCGTGGTGTCCGCCGTTGCTAGGGCGAAGTCAAGACAAATGATTCTCCCCTGCCCGCCCGTCCGTCCGTCCGTCCCGCGGTGACTCGCGGTGTCCCGCGGTGTCCCGTGGTGTCCCGAGGTGTCCCGTGGTGTCCCGTGGTGTCCCGTTGAGTGAGATCGATCGTGAGATCGATAATGAGATCGACGTGCTGTCCCGAGGTGTCCCGTGATGTCCTATGGTGCCCCGTTGAGTGAGATCGATAGTGACATCGACCGCACGGTGTCCCGCGGTGTCCCGTGGTGTCCGGTGGTGTCCCGTTGACTGAGATCGATAGTGAGAGCGACACGTGTCCCGTGGTGTCCCGTGGTGTCCCGTTGAGTGAGATCGATAATTAAATCGATTGAGTCAGATGTTGGTTCCCTCCCCTCCCTCGCCCACAACAATCTCCTTATCACCCGAAGACTGGTCGTATAGGGATCGGAGGTTGGGGGGTGAGATCGCAGTGGAACGGAGACCCCCAACCGAGAAATCGTTTCATTTCGTTCGTGTCGTGCGGGCGGGCGAGGCGAAGCTGCGTGGGCGCGCGAGAGGAATTAATTAAACCGCCTTTGCTAGGACGAAAACAACACAAATTATTCTCCCCCGCCCGCCCGTCCGGCGGTGGCCCTAGGTGTCCCGCGGTGCCCCGTGATTTCCCGTAGTGTCCGCCGTTGCTAGGGCGAAAGCAAGACAAATGATGCTCCCCCGCCCGCCCGTCCGGCGGTGGCCCGCGGTGTCCCGCGGTGTCCCGTGGTGTCCCGTGGTGTCCCGTGGTGTCCGCCGTTGCTAGGGCGAAGTCAAGACAAATGATTCTCCCCCGCACGCCCGTCCGTCCGCCCGTCCGGCGGTGGCTTGCGGTTCCCGCGGTGTCCCGCGGTGTCCCGTGATGTCCCGTGGTGTCCCGTTGAGTGAGATCGATGGTGAGATCGATAGTGAGATCGAGAGGTGTCCCGCGGTGTCCCGTGGTGTCCCCAAAAATGAATTCGATAGTGAGATCGATGGTGAGATCGACAGGTGTCCCGTGGTGTCCCGTGGTGCCCCGTTGAATGAGATCGATAATGAGAATGCCCCGAGGTGTCCCGCGGTCTCCCAAAAAGTGAGCTCGATACTGAGATCGACAGGTGTCCCGTGCTGTCCCGTGGAGTGAGATCGATAGTGAGATCGATAGTGAGATCGATGTGGTGTCCCGAGGTGTCCCGTGGTGTCCGATGGTGTTCCGTTGAGTGAGATCGATAGTGAGATCGATAATGAGATCGAGAGGTGTCCCGCGGTGTCCCGTGGTGTCCAGTTGAGTGAGATCGATGGTGAGATCGACAAGTATCCCGTGGTGTCGCGTGGTGTCCCGTTGAGTGAGATCGATAATTAAATCGATTGAGTCAGATGTTGGTTTCCACCCCTTCCCCCCCCACAACTTCCTTCTCACCCGAAGGTTGGTCGTGTAGGTATCGGAGGTTGGGGGGTGAGATCGCAGTGGAACGGAGACCCCCAACCGAGAAATCGTTTCGTTTCGTTCCGGTCGTGCGGGCGGGCCAGGCGAAGCTAAGTGGGCGCGCGAGAGGAATGAACCCGCCGTGACTAAGGCGAAGTCAGTGAAACGGAGACCCCCCACCGGGAAATCGGTTTCGGTTTCGTGTTCGTGTCGTGCCTGGATGGGTCCCAGTTGGGCCGGGCGGTGTCCCGGGTGTCCCGGGTGTCAGTAGGAGCGAAAATCCGTTTCCCGTCTGCCGGTGGCCGGAAGGTGTTCCAGTTGGGCCGGGCGGTGTCCCGAGTGTCCCTGGTGTCGATAGGTAGATAGTGGGATCTCATCGTCATCGCGATCATCATTGTGGTGGAGGGAGACTGATCAAGAGGGGGAGAGAAAGAGAGAGGGCGAGAGAGAGAGAGACAGAGAGAGAGAGAGATGAGATCAAGGTGACAGGCTGGAGGTCAGTCAGGGTGGGCATTTGATCTCACCCCCCCAACCTCCTGATCGCCCGCAGGGCGGTCGTATAGGTATAAGTATATATATGCACATATCTATCGGAGGTTGAAGGTTGAGATCGCAGTGGAACGGAGACCCCCAACCTGCAAATCGTGTCGTTTCGTTCGTATCGTGCGTGCGGGGGAGGCGAAGCTGCGTGGGCGCGCGAGAGGAATGAACCCGCCGTGACTAGGGCGAAGTCAAGACAAATGATTCTCCCACGCCCGCCCGCCCGTCCGTCCGTCCAGCGGTGGCCCGCGGAGTCCCGCGGTGTCCCGTGGTGTCCCGTTGAGTGAGATCGATTATGAGATCGATACTGAGATTGAGAGGTGTCCCACGGTGTCCCGTGGTGTCCCGTTGAGTGAGATCGATTATGAGATCGATAATGAGATCGACAGGTGTCCCGTGGTGTCCCGTGGTGTCCCGTTGAGTGAGATCGCTCGTGAGATCGATTGAGTCAGATGCTGGTTCCCCCCCCTCCCCCCCCCCCCACAACCTCCTTATTACCCGAAAGGTGGTCGTATAGGTATATACTACTGTCCCTGGGTACGTGGTGTAGAGGGGCTCTGGTGTGTGAACCGTCCTTGACTTGGCTTTCCTTGTCGGTCCGCCCCCCGACCCCCCCCCCCGCGCGACCCGCCCGCGACATTATCGCGACCCGCCCCGCGACCCAGCCGCGACCCGGCCGCAACCCGGGGGAGGAGGAGGAGGAGGAGGAGGAGGAGGAGGAGGAGGAGGAGGAGAAGGAGGAGGAGAGAGAGCGAGCGGGAAGAGCGCAGAGCGACGAGAGAGGGAGCAGGGGAGGGGAGCGAGGAAGGGAGGTGCTCCACCGAACAACGAGAGTGCGTCTGTGCATGCGCGCGCTCTGTCCAAACTCGGGAATCAGACAGCGCGCTCGACACATCTCCGATCGCAACTCGAACATGCGCACCCCGTTACTTGAAGACCAGCCGATGCGCCGTCGTCGTTGCGGTAGGCTGAAGAGCGATGCAGTCATCGTGATGCCACAGGGAACCCTGAAGAGGGAACGAGGCAGCTTCTCTGGCCACGGCGAGGGCCTCGGCCCCGAATATGTGGGTCCCCCCGCCCTAGATCTAAGGAACGGCCCGCCACAGCCCCTCCTGCCCAAAGTGGCCCCCCTTTCAGCGCCTTGCCTGCATGCATGCCCGCCCCCCGCCCTTCTCCTGGGACGCCTCTCCTCCGCCTGGGCCCCCCGAGCGGCCTTGCTGTGCCCCGGCCTGCAGCCAGGCGCGCACCGCGGGTTGCAGCCCTGCCACCAGCCGCCGAAGGGGCCCATCGCGGGCGGCGACTGGCGGGGACGGGCGCGACCCCCCCTCCCCAGACCTGTGGCCACTCCGAGCAGCATCGGGCGCTGCCAGAAATACCCGACAGAGGTGCCCCAGGATTTCTGAGGAGGCCTGGGCAGCCTCCAGAGCGCCCTCCACGAGGCCCAGGAGAGCCCCAGCCAGAACGAACACCTGGGGGCACCCGGGCCGGTGCCACATCTGGCAACGACCCGAAGGCAAGGCCCGAAGCTCTTCGCCAGTGTCGGCGCCCGGAGGCCGCGTTCCTGAGCCCCAGGACCATCAGCGAGACGACTCGGCACGGCCCACTGCCCCATCTTCCATTCCCGTTTGGCACCATCCGGAAGTCTCTGGACCTCGGTCTAGTCGCTGGAGGCCCCCGCCTCGGCCTCCAGAACACCCTCGAACCCCCAAAGCTGGCAAGCACCTACAGAACATGGTCCATCGTCCCTCTCTCCCTCACCCTCCTCTCCTCGTCCGAGGTCCAACTCGTACCCATCCTCCTCGTCGCCAAAACGAAACCATCGGGGACCTCCGCGCCCGCCAAAAAGCCCGCGAGCGTGCGCGCGCGGAGCGCCGAATCTCACGTCCCCCTCGTCGGCTGAAGGACCCACTTCCCAGCGACCTGGTCCCCAGGTCAAGCCCCAACCCCACGGGTCCAAACGTGGCCGCCAGTGGCGGCAGCAAGCGTGCGCGGAGGGCGCGGAGGGCGCGGGCGCTTGCGGGGGAAGACGCACGGCAGCCATCGAGCTGGCTGACAGAACGGCCGAAAGGAGCTGCGAGGATGAGCGAAGAGGCGACAGAACGGGGCTGGCGCTGCGCCGCGCGGGTCCTTCACCCTCCCGCGCCGAGCGCCACCCCCCGCTCTGCTGCGAGACTGCGTGGCCGTTGGAGGGGGGCAGGGCCGGAAGAGCGGGGGAACACGGCAACATCAGCAGAAGCAGGGCAAGAAGCCAGTGCAGCATCGAGGCAGGGCAGCATCATCAGCCAAGGCGGAGAGCCAGGGCGACATGAGCGTACGGTTGCGAGGTGCGCGCAGGAAGTGTAGGGTAAAGGGAGCGGCACCAATGCGGGGGGGGAGCCGGGCTGAAAGGACAAGGCGGCAGAGCCAGCATCGAGGGACACCGCGTCGCACTTCATGCTATCAAATGTATTATGCGCTATCGGTTTTCCCTGTGCTTGAGACTCGCAGTCGTTCTCCATGTCCTGTGGTTTAGCACCAGACCTGTCAATATGTGTTGTGTATTATATGTGTTAATGTCGCCGTCGTCTGGGGTGCAAGCTGTGGCAGCAAACGCCTGTGCTGCTTTACGCGATCAAACATGTGCAATCGGATTATGTATTGTGCCTCGGCGACCGACGCACTACGTGCCATAACACATTGCATCGTGCGTTGTGGCAAGAGGCACGTACACACACACACTCACGCACGACGCCGAATGTCAGCATCTTAATGTTTGCGTATATACAGATCTGCATATGCGGGTATGCCATTTTGGCGTGTTGTCGTCTTTCGTGGGCGTGATATTGGCGCCCGCGCTTGGATTATGTGAGTTGCGCTGGCGAGCTGGCGTTCGCTTTTGGCGTTTCATGTGTTCTGAACTTGGCGTTTATCGGACCGGACATCTGTGCTGTGCTGGGGGGTTGCGAACAAAATCGACTTGGGGCATATTCCGACCATGATTTCAAAGCGAATGCAATGGCGGCGAAGAGCACCACAACACCACATCCCCCGAGGTTCAAGAAAGGCATTACACACCAAATTCCCGCCTCCTCCCTCCCTTCCCTACCCCTCCCTCCGTCCTCCTTCTCCTCCTCGGGCGAGGCCTCAACGTGTTGTAAACATCAACTTGGAATGTTACTTGAATGCTTCCGCGTCTGCATGCCAACTTAGTTGTAAGGCTCCGGGACCATCATAACAACCCAGGACAAAAGACTAATCCGCGGCGAGGGGGTCGTGAAACCCCTGGACCGCCGTCACACTAAATAAGCACGTCGGAGGTCCAAATATACGCCAATACCGACCCTGGCCACGTGCGTTTCGGGCCCAGGGTCACTTGTGTACGTCCTCTGGGCTTGGCCTGGGAGGCATGGGCACCAGCCCCAGGCCTAAGCTTGGCCTGGCCAAGGTATTCGTATATAGCTATCTGGCACCCCTCGGGACGAGAGGAAGGTGGGCAGATGACAGTGATTTGGAAATCCTTTGGAAACAATTTCGGGCACGGTCGAATGCTACCATGGCAAGTCTGAACATGTATTAAACGGGAGCGGGCAAGTGACAGGGCAGATGGATCCCAATTCAACAGGATGGACCAAATCAGACGTAATTAGACGATGATCGAGGTCGATGCCAGGATCGTTCAACCTCCTCACAGGGTTGGCCGACTAAGAGCACATACCTCCGAAAACCTAACTCGTTTTTCTATCCGTGGCCCTCTGGACACCTCGGCCTCTCCCTGGGAACGGGCTCCAATCCCCAGGTCCGTTTTTGACGGTCCTGGGGCACGGGCGCCGAAGACGGCAGTGGTCCCCCACCCTGACTTGCCGAGACGTGGAGGAATGAGGATCGTTTAACCGATCCCCATCCCCAGCGGCGTGGCCTGGGCCCCTCTGGCCGATGTACCCCCCTAGATGGGGATATAGGTCGTTTCCTTCGGGTTTCGAGGGGTGTATCCCCAACTGGGGTGGTAATTTGGTGGGGGTCTCGAAGGGGATGGAGATGGGGATGGGGATCGGTTAAACGATGCCGAAGGAAGGACCCACCGGGCGCTGCAGTCCGAAGGCACGCCTGGGGGGCGGGCGGGAAGACTCGGGGCAGCGCCGCCTTGGGCGGAGAGGCAGACGGGGCGGGCCGTCCCAGGAGGCTCAGTCCCCCTCCTCCTCTCTCTCCCCCTGCCCCTCCCCCTCCTCCTCCTCCTCCTCCTCCTCCTCCTCCTCCTCCTCTTTCTTCCCCTCCCCCTGCTCCTACTCCTGCTCCTCCTCCTCCTCCTCCCCCTCCTAGGGCAACTATCTTCCCCTGGAACCCCATCGCCTTCTGAGCAGACCTGTCCTCTCCCGCTTGCCCCCCCCCTCTGCGGGCAAGACCTTGTGTCCATATGCATCCACTGCAGCTTGGAGTTTCGGGCCCCCTTCTCCAGAAACCCGAGGCGCACACGATATGGATAAAACTCTTGGCCTCCAGAACCCCGATGTTGATCCATATCTAATGCGCCTCGGCCTTGCGGCGCCCCTTCAAAAGAAAGTCCGAGACTCGCAGGATATGAAGAGATTGGACGCCCGAAGTATGCAGGATAACTGTGGTCTGGGAAAACTCTGGTTCGGGCCCCGGGCCCCCGAGGTACGAACCCGTAGCTACCCCTGACTGCCCCCAGCCCCGATGAGTCGGAAAGGTTGGACACCCGAATTATCCGGAATACCTGCTGTCCAGGGTAACTATCGATGCGACCACCCTTCGGGTGGTAAGGAGTTGGGGTGGGGGGAAAGAACCAACTGCTGGCAAATGCGATGGGTGTGATGATGACGATGCTGGTGACGCGCCATCGAGTTAGCGACGACATGCATGACGACGATGTTCTGCGATGTAATACCACTATCATCCCCGCTTTCGATCTCACTCGAGCGATCCCACTATCAACCTCGCGGCCAGCCTTAGTACCAATGGATTCAGCGATGGTTCCCACTATCGCTCCCACTAGCGATCTCACCATCGATTCCTCGATCAATCTCAGTTACCGATCCCACGATCGGTCACGCAACCAATGCCACAATCCACATCGCCGTCGATCTCACTTCTGGTATCACTATCCATCCCATTCTAGCGATCTCACCACCGATCTCACTATCGCTTCCACTGTCGACACGATACGACTGGGCGGGACATCCCTGGCCACCGCCCGCCCACCGCCGACGGCACGCCGACGGGACACCACAACGGGACACCACAACGGGACACCACGGCGGCACGCCCCGAGCTACGGAGCGCCCCTCCCCCGGGGGCGCAGGGGCAGCCCAGCCCTCCCGCGCGCCCACGCAGCTCCGCCTTCGCCGGCACAGCACGGACACGCACAGCACGAGGCCGAAGCCGATCTCTCGCGGCCCCTCGCCCTCCAGATTCCCGACGCCGCGCTCTTCTTGCCCACGGCGTCGGCCCCCAGAAGTCTGGACCCCTTCTCCCCACGGCCGGGGCCAGGGGCACCTTCTGGCAGCACCCGACCCGAAGGCCCAAGGGGGAGGGGGGGGGGGGGGGCCGGAGGCCGAAGGGTGGCGGCGAGCCTCCCGCCGCGGCTGCTCTCGACGGCGCGGGGGGAGCTCCGGGCCCCCCGCCTCGCCGGCGGCCCCGAGGCACGGGACCGCGCGTCTGCCCCCTGACTTCGGGGGCGCGCGCGCCAAGAGCCCACACCTCCCTGCCTCCAGACACCCTTCACGTCGCTCATTTCTAATGGTGCTCATTTCTACGTAGCTGTGCTCGTTTTTGATTGTTCCTGGCCCCCTAGTGGCCAGGAAGAGGCCCAGGATAGAACAAGTAGGAATGAAAATGGAAAGATCTTGGCCCAAACAATAATCAAAGAGCTTTCGAAGACTTCGACATGAACAATGTGTAACTTGAGATTCTATCCGCGGCCCTGTGGACCTCTCGGCCTCTTCCTGGGAACAGACTCCAATCCCCATGCAAGCTTTTGACGGTCCTGGGGCACTGGCGCCGAAGACAGCAGTGAACTCTCACCTTGACTTGTCGAGACGTTGATGAAGGACCCACAGTCGGGTGTGCGCAAACATGGATTAGCGATCGATGGATTTGGCGCGCGGTCGCCAAATCCATGGATCGGGGGAGGTGCCCTCCCCAAAATGCGGCCGGTGCCGCCTCGCTCGGCGGCGGAAATCCCCCCCTTTCCATGGAAACGGGACCCGTCGCTAATCCACGCCCCCTTCATCCATGTTTGCGATCGCCTGATGACTGCCCTGGCATGTTCCCCTACAGGCCGATTTTCGACGGATAGTTAGAAATACGCAAACAGTATTCAAAAACGGTCAGAAAATGCTCGAAACGACGTCCCCAGACACTTTTTAACAATGTTTGAACATTCCTCCTGTAGAGGGACACGCCCGCCTGAAGACTACCCCCGAGGCCCTCACGATTCGGAGCTCTGACGACGACGACGACGACGACGACGACGACGACGACGACGATGACGACGACGACGATGACGACGACGGCGGCGGCGGCGGCGGCGACGACGTCGACGTCGACGACGGCGACGGCGACGACGACGGGAGCTATGAAGAGAAACACGCGAGCTCCCCTCCCAACCTCTGACGATCTGGGCCCCCGAGGCGCGAATCTGCACCGAGCCCCCGACTGCCCCCGATGCCCTGACGACTCGGAGCCCCGAAAATGAGTCGTCGCCGTCGCCGTCGTCGCCGTCGCCGTCGACGTCGTCGTCGTCGTCGTCGGCGACGGCGACGACGACGTCGTCTTCGACGTCGTTGCCCGCCCCCGCGGCGCGCCGCCACAAGACAGGGCGGGGCAGCGAGCGCCGGGAGGCCGCCCTGGGCGATGATGGGCTTGTTTTCCACCACCACCACCACCATAAGTAGGAGGGGGAGGGGGTCCCCCTCCTCCTCCTCCTCCTCCTCCTCCTCCTCCTCCTCCTCCTCCTCCGCCTCCTGCTCATCCTCCACCTCCTTCCCCCTCCAACTTATGGTGGTGGTGGTGGTGGTGGAAAACAGGCCCATCAGGCGAGGCGCCCGCCCGTGGCGGCCGGCCTCCCGAGCCTCGGGGAAGCCAAGAGAGGGGAGGCAAGAGTGAAGGGGCCCAAGGACACACAAATAAATACACACAAAAAAAAAGATTCCCCATATTTTCCTATATTTTCTGGGTTTCTGTCTTCCCGCCCACTCCCCATATTTTCCCATATTTTCTGGGGGTCGACGAATAATTGTGTCTGTGTGTTTTTTCCCCTCCAGAAAGAGACAAAGTCAGGAAGCCCAGTCAGGGAGGCGGCGGGGGAACGGGGAGGAAGCGGGAAACGGAGTCGGGAAGCAGAGTCAGGGGACCAAGTCAGGAAGCGAAGATGGACGGAGGCAGCGGAGCAGCAGAAAGTCAGGAAGCCAGGAAGGGGGACGGCATGGAACGAGGGGAGAGCTCGAAAGCGAGGACGAGGCAGCAGAACGAGCAGAGCAACAACGGAGAACAAACAGGATTGGACTGTTCGCACCACGGCAAATACTCCAGCCTAGCGCCCAGGGAGAAACACCCACAGAAACGCGCGAGAGCTCGCGGGTGCAGAGACCTCTAAATAGCGGCGCACAAACCAGACAAGATCCTCCTCCCAATCAGAAAGCTCATTACAAAAGTGAATCCCCTCCTTATCCCGACAGCCAGGCGAAGGAGAAACATGAGGATGAGGAATAAAACGAAGCCAGGACGAGAATAAATTCGGATGAAAATTCATTAGGAATCTCTGAGATCCAGCGGCTCTGGAGGATGTCACGGGCGCCGCGGCCTTCTCAGAGAGTTCCCGAACTCGATTCGAGAGCGTCACAGAACGCTCTGGAACGGATTGATCCTCGTCTTAGCCCCGTCCGAAGGAAACAAAATGATAGGACGAGGACGGCCACTCGTGGTGCCGGGGTCTGGTCGGGAGTCCGAGACTCCCCCCCCGGGACCGGCCGTTTTCTAGCGGCTGGCCCCGTTTCTACGAGCGCACGTCGCAATCTCGCTCACGCTCACGATGCCTGTCCGGAGGTATATGGGCCGCACATAGACAGCCGGACGTCTCCCGCAGCGCTTTCCAACCACAGTTTTCGGAGGCGAACCCAACTTCGGCGAGGAAGGCCGAACAGAAAACCAAGAAACTGAACCCAAAAACGTTTTCATCTCTTGGGAGCGAAACTTTTACTTCCGTCGCCTTCTGCAGGCCTTCCGCCGGCTTCCGCTGGCGGAGGCGGCCTCGTTTTACTTCCGCCGACCTTCCGCCGCGGAAGAGATGACAACTCCTTCTATCCTCGAAGGCAAGGCCCTTCTGGAACGCCGAAATTAGGAAACAAGGAGACAGAAACGAAGAGGAGGACAATCCTCTTCCGATCGTCGTGCCCCTTCCCCTGACGAGTCGACGTTTCCCCAAACAAACATACGCAAGGTTCTCTTTCTCAGTGGTGTTCCGCTGCCCCACGCCCCCTTACTCGCGCCGGGTGGCAGCTTCGTTGCTCGATACACAACGACGTCGCGTAGGGCCGGCGAAGTGATTTGTCGAGGATATCTGAAACGAAACGCTGGTTTTACATGATCTGTTTGGGACGTCTCAGGCGGAACGCTTGTTTTGAAGAGCTTTAGGATGTCTCGAGACAACGCTTGTTCTGCAGAATCCGCTGGAGATGTCGTCAACGACATGCTGATGTTGCAGAATTTGACGAACCTGGACGCCCCAGTATACCCCGCACCCGTGTATTTGTCGCATTCTGGAGGTGCCCCATACAGCACAGTTCAACACAACACGACGCAGCACAGTTCAGCACAGCGCGGATCAATCCTGATTTGCCCCAGGATCGCGGCCCTGGGAGGGGACACACCCTGGGGAACCTGTGAGAGTCCTGCCTCTCAGAATGCGGCTCCTTCGGCAAGAGACGCTATGTGGTTTCAGGGAAATGATGGTGAAAACAACTGTATGAGTAACCTTCTCCTCCTCTGAGTCTCAGGAGGTGAGCCGATTTGTCTTCGGCTCGTTCCAGTCTTGGTTCGCTTGCCTCGGTTCGATTAGGGTCGGTTCGGACCTTGTCTCGGCTCGTATTGTTTCGGTTCGTCGCGTTTCTGTCTGTCCAGTGTTGCTGCGTTTCGCCTCGGTTGGGTTTCGCCCCCTAATGGTTCGTCCCGCTTCGAACTGAATCAAGGCTTGGGCTCAAGCTGGTTGAGCGCCCCGTCCGCGTCGATTGCAACCAGCTCTTGACGAGCTATGCGCTCAGGCAAGTCGAGCTTTGGATCCATACCAGTTCGGTCAGGACTCCGACGCCTCAGACGACTTGACACCCGACGCAATGGAACACAACTCAGCTAAACGCGGCAGAACACATGTCGATTCAACACGCCGAAACACAACACAACCCCTGCCACGGCTAGGTGCAAGGTCACAGGGCCATGTCATAACGCAAGCGATATTGCCGATCGTTTCAATGTCGTTCCAAATTCGTTGTATGTAATTGGTGGGGGAACGTTAAACAAAATGGTACGACACAGTGACGGAACTGGAGCGAAACTGGCATGACAACGGCGCAACGCTGGAACGAACCAGAAGCGACACCATGACGAAACTGCTACGACACTGGAGCGAAACTGGAGCAACGCCTGAACGGAACTGGAACGAAACCACAGCAGCACTAGAATCCCCCACCGTTGGCAAAGGCGAACATGCATCAAACGTGTGGCGGAAACGCAGAAATGAAACATACTGATAAACATATCACGGGTCCCAAAACCTTACGCCAATCAAATTACACCATCATCGATACACGTGCATATTATCTATGTATGTGTGTATATATATATATATATATATATACGTCCCGGGTTCGTGTGCCGATCATGCTCGCAATCATTCTGTGCTGGGACCTGAGAATGAATATGTGAGCCAGCGTTGACCCCAAACAGTACATCCAAACACAATCTGGATGTGTGGTGTGACTTACGTGGCGCGTGCGAGCGGTGCAAACTATGTGATGCAAGCAATGCGCCGCAAATTATGCGGTGCAAGGTACGCAGTGCAATCTACGTGGTGCAATCCGCGTGGTGCAATCTGTGTGGTGCAAGCTGTGTGGTCCCAGCTATGCGGCGCAAGCTATGTGGAGTTACCAGCGTTTTGCAATCTAGGTTGTGCCAGATATGCAGTGTGAGGCGAGAGCTCGGTGGTGCAGTCTGTGCGGTGCAGGCTACGTGGTGCTTGCTGCGTGGTGCACCTGGTGCAATCTACATGCGCAGTCTACGTGGTGCAAGTTGTCTGGTGTAAGCTGTGTGGTGTAAGCTACGTGGTGTGAACTATGTGGTGCGAGCTACGTGGCGCATTGTTTTGACAACTCGTGAACTGTCCTCTCCACTGCTTGCGCAGTCATCACTCCTTCCGACATGACACTTGGCTTGCAAAACCCATGCGGGGGCGCTTGCGATGACTGCATGGCCATGGTCGGAGCGTCTCTGCGGCCACGCTGGCGCGCGCAAGCTCATGCGCAGAGCGGCCAACTGGTTTGGCACAACGGATGCGGCGGCGATGGCGCTTACGGATGGCAACGTCCCAGCGCGCGTCAAAGGCCAAGCTGGCGCGCGGGAACTTCAATTCGGGTCGGTGGCTCGGGCGGGCGCGATTTCATGATGATGTCGCAACAGCGGGGTAGCCATGGTGGTGGCGATGATGATGATGAGTATGATGATGATGCTGATGCTGGTGATGATGAGGCTGATGATGGTGATGATGCTGATTCTGATGAAGATGATGATGACAACGACGGCACGGCCAATGACAACGCCGATGCTGGTAACGTTGGTGACGATGATGTCCATGTGTCGGTGATGAAGATGCGTGAGTGATGATGGCGGCGCTTGCGTCGATGTTCGATGACGTGATGCAGCGGTGCTGATGAGGGTGATAGTGAGGAATAGCAGGAGCGCGAAAATCCAAGACCCCTGGCTAACTTTCTGCTAAACAAATGCGTGTTCTGTTTCCCACACGTGTTTGAATACCTCGATTTGGGAACGCCTCGAAAACCATAAACCATGGATTTGGAAGAATTTCGACACGCTCGCGCGGCGGCGCGCGCGTATGGCGGCATGGAGTCATTTGATACGCATACGCGCACTGGGCGCATGCTTGATCAACGCGGATACACCGCGTGGTGAGATGATCATGCTGACTCTGAGCGAAAGTGCTACATCATATATTTTCCCATGGTTTCAGCAACTGCGCGCGGGCAGCACATTTGCAAGATTTGTGATGGTGCACCGAAGGAATGTACTGATTTGGTGTTAGAATCCTTGCGACGCCTGCTTGTGTGATATGCTTTCGGCATGTGCGCGCGCGTGGATTTCCCGCGGCGATTGAAACATTGTCTTTCATGGTTAGCGAGTGCGCGCGCGTAGTATATGAGTGATATTACTGGCATGATTAGCATTATCCTTGAGTCGCACTATCTGACAAGGATGAGGAGGGAGACGATACCGGTTCGGCTGGGATGGTGTGAATTCATGTGGACCTTGGACGACGAGGCATGGCCATGTGTAGATGAGAATGACCCACGGGGTGCCGAGAAATCTGCGAGGTAGAACGTGGCTTCTGCTGCGAGGGGAACCTGCACGGTGTGAGCTGTTTGGGGTAAACTGGGGAGTGCGGCGACGGGCGGGGGCGGGAGGGGAGAAGGAGGAGGAGGAGGTGGAGGAGGAGGAGGAGGAGAAGGAGGAGGAGACGGAGGAGGAGGAGGAGGAGCAGGAGGAGCAGGAGGAGGGGGAGGGGGAGGAGGTGGAGGGAGGAGGGAGGAGGAGGGGGAGGAGCAGGAGAAAGGAGAGGGGAGGAGGAGGATGAGGAGGATGAGGTGGAGGAGGAGGAGGAGGACAGGGGAGGGAGGAGAGGAGGAGGAGGAGGAGGAGGAGGGGAGGAGGAGGAGGAAGGGGAGGAGGAGGAGGAGGAGGAGGAGGAGGTGGAGGAGGAGGAGGAGGAGGAAGAGGAGGAGAAGGACCTCGTATTGGGAAAGACGGGGGGCGGAGGCCGCCGGGCCCGCATGCGGGCCCCGGCGCC